CGTAATCCAGGGCTTATTGTTTGCATAGCAGCATACAGTTCTTACTGGAACAACAGTGTTCATACAGAAGTTGATGTAGTCAGTAGTGCAGTCAACAACCTCCTCGATGTTCCCACTGTGCGACCCCTGCAGTACATCCCAGTCTGTAGTTCAGAAGCAAACTCTCAGAGCCTGCTCTGCCTCAGGAGACCACTTCCTGAATGAGCATATATTTGTTGTTGCTGAAGCAAGTTTGTGGTCTGCTTTTCCTAGTGCAGGGTGGTGCTGTATGCATCCTTCACGTTTGCATAGAGTAAATCAATAGTCCTATTTCCCCTGGTGTTACAGTCCACATTAGGAATGTGCATCTCAGGACTCAGGCCGATACGATACGCATCTCGATGCATAGCCAACAACATGATACATTAAAGATACATATGAAGCAGCCACCGATGCGATGTGATACGATTCACCCCTATTACGATGCAGTGCGATCCGATTTCGATTCGATTCGATTCAACACAATGCAATTCGATGCAATATGATGCAATGGAGAAAATATCACTTTTAATGCCTCAAGGCCTGTTTCATAAAACAAGTTAACCAAATAAGCCAGGCTTATTTCATTAAGTCTGACTCATTGTCAAATGATTTGGTTCCATAAAGCAAATTTAACATAGGCCTAGATCAAGCTAGTCACTGTGGCAACTTATGCTGGGAAACTAACCTGGTCTAAAACAGGCTAACTGTCAGGCTACGCTCCTCTAACACTGACCAATAGGAACATAATGATATTACCTTACACAATCTTTTATAGTTTGCAGAACAGATAGCAGAACATTAGAACATTACAATCTAAAATGGATCTTTAAAGCATTAAAATTACTAAATTAAAAGTTAAAATCACTGAATTAAAAATGAAAATAAATAATAAAGAAAATGACTACATTTTAACTGCTATAAGAAACAGTAATTAGTAATTAGCACTGTAGCCTACTAGCTTACATTTGATTTACCTATTACAATAGTCCCTTTACAGTTACTGCTATCATAAAAATACACTTTTTATGTAGGTTTAAAATCCGGTAAAAAGCACATTTAATGTCCAAAAACAAATTTTTTAGCAAAATTTATATTTTACTCAGAATTGTTGCGCTCCTATTCGATTGCACTCCTTCTGTTTAGTGTGCATGCGCGCAGCAGTGCTTGTTGCTCTCACATGCCTCTCCACTCCTGACAGCAAAATGGATATGTTTGCATGACTTTCTAACATTTACAGATGAAAAATATACTTGACACATTAACTCATCTGAGCTTAGTAATTAGTATACTCCTACTAGCTTACATTTGATTTACCTATTACAATAGTCCCTTTACAGTTACTGCTATCATAAAAATACACTTTTTATGTAGGTTTAAAATCCGGTAAAAAGCACATTTAATGTCCAAAAACAAATTTTTTAGCAAAATTTATATTTTACTCAGAATTGTTGCGCTCCTATTCGATTGCACTCCTTCTGTTTAGTGTGCATGCGCGCAGCAGTGCTTGTTGCTCTCACATGCCTCTCCACTCCTGACAGCAAAATGGATATGTTTGCATGACTTTCTAACATTTACAGATGAAAAATATACCTGTGACATGTCAGTTATGCACTGAGGAAAACACAACGTCTCAAATGCATTAAACAGCACAGATATATTCGATGTTTTTCATGGTGGATCGATTTGATCCATGATCGACATTAAGGGCTGCTTAAGAATAAACGTGCACAAATTAGTGAGATTGTGTGAATTAATTCGCCTTTAATGGAACCGCTTTAGCCCCGATTGATTTGTTAGGTTATTTCAAGTCAGGTTTTGGACTTTAATCCCAGTTTTTCCTCGGGTCTCGTGGTGTTATGGTACGTCATATTCACGCAGCAGCAGCGGTGATGAGAGAGCGTGCTTGAGAAACAGTTTAGAGAGGAGAATGGAACTGCTTTAGCCCCGATCGATTTGTTAGGTTATTTCAAGTCAGGTTTTCAATCCCCGCTTTTCCTCAGGTCTCTGTAGTGTTGTTGTGATACGTCATATTCACGTGCAGCGGTGATGAGAGAACGTGCTTGAGAAACAGTTTCGAGAGGAGAAATCGATCTAACGTTACATATAAAATATTGGTCACAGATTATTGGTCACTTTCTAAACAATAAAAGTGTAGTCATCCACTAGTAATTATATATAAATAAATCGGTTTTTACTGATGCAAATATGTTAGAAACGATGCATCGCAATATAAATGACAACTTGTAGCCGATGCACACTTTTTAAACTGATGCATCGCATCAACTTTTTTTACCGATGCACCGAGCGAATCGGGGAATCTTCCCATCCCTAGTCCACATACTGGGAGAAAGCAGGTAATGTTGTATCCAGAGTCCCATGATTAAAGTCCCCGGAGATTAAAGGGTTAGTTCAGCCAAAAATGAAAATTAGGCTGTGTTTTACTCACCCCCGAGGCATCCTAGGTGTATATGACTTTCTTCTTTCAGACG